TTTCTTGTCTGTTGTGAGCCGCCCAGAGTCCCTATGGGAGTGGGCGGCATACAAATTCTAATAAACTTGAAACTTACTTCAAAAAATATTAAAGAATAACTTTTAGAATTTTCAGAACTTAGAGAAGAATGTAATAAAATAAATTTTAAAAAGACCAAAAAGCAGATAAATATATGCCTGTGTAGAAAAAAATAAACATACAGTATATTTTTTTAAAAAAGAAAAGAAATTCTCCTTATGTAAATTATTTACTTACCTACTAATGGCCTGTTCCTCGTCTGTTATCCCAGTCTCCCTGAATGTCCTGTTCGATTCCTCTAAACTGAGGGCAATAGCTCTCTGTAGATCATCTTTGTCATCTCCTGTGAGATCAATTACATCTGGAAGGCAAATTTATGTTCCTCAACATTAAAAATGCATAGAATGAAAAGTCAACTATATTAGCAATGATCAACAACTAGCTTAGATTTATCTGCACTGGATTTAATTTTATTCACTCAACATTTTACTTATTCCAAGCACTATAGTATCATTCATTTGCATAACTTGAGTTATTAATTACATTTGAACAATCAACTAAAATTTCATATTATAAATATAATATAATATAATATAATATAATAATATAAAATTTCATAGTACTTTCTATTACTTTATCTCTTTATTGGCATAAATTTGCTGACTCATGAAAACTCTCATCTGCATTAAGCCATAGATCTTTGTCATTTGAAACTAAAATAATGTAACTTTAAATCAATAAATAAACAGCAATAAATAATTCTAGCTAGGATGTCTATAATAAAGCAATGTGAAAAGAAGGAAGACTACAAGAAGAACAAGGAGACTGCCTAAAAAAAAACTATGAACAGAATGTTTCAGCCCACCATGTCATCAAATAAATTTTCATTAAGCAGTTTCATCATGGCTATTATACTGGTCTAGTATGTTTAACACGTTTATCATGAAGAATTTTAAAGTTCTAAACAGCATCATATTGGCCAAAGAAATTGGATGCTCTCAAAAATCTGGGAAACTGTAAGAAAAACGGGATCTCAAATATATCCAGAAATAGAGACAAAGCTCTTTTCTTACAATTAGAGATAGCTGGATAGCTAGATAGCTAGACAGACATACAGAGAGACAATCAGCTTTAGCTTTGCCATCACAAAGTTATGCTTGTCAAACCTAAGAATTTCTTTTTTTTAAAAAAAGTCATTATTAGACAATATCTATTATCAAATATGAAATCTGGAGATATAAAAAGTTCATTAATATACAGTAGAAACTGAGATTGTGGCAGGTTTTTCTAGTTTTTTTTAGTTGTGTAGTTATATGGTGAGAAAAAAGCACTTACTTGTATCTGCTTGGCTTCCTACACTTATATATCTGTCATTACCAGGAAGTGCTGTTTGATAGTATGTTGTTTCTTCTTGCTGAGGAATCTTGGCATTCTTTGCAGTTAGGAGGGCTACTGCTAATTCTAGGTTCCCATTGCTATCCTTTAAATTCATAACAATGAATTATCAGAATGCCATTTTATGATCAGCTTGTAACATCAAGTCCAGATACATTTAAATTTTACATATTGCCATGAATATAGTTTTATTATTAGAAACCTAATCAATTTAAAAATAACATATTAATTAATAATGTGAAATATGATAAGCAACTTTAAAACAGAATGCAATAAAAGATGAACTTTAATCCGAATCCACTGATTTAACATAGTCGTATTCTGCAGTGGCAAATGAAATTGTTTAATAGTTGAATTAGATGAATTAGATGCTGCCCATTGTATACAAGTTTCCTAAATAAAACATTTGCAAGGAGTTTTGAAATCAGTTTTGTAACTTCTGTTTTCAACATGAATTTGAATAAATGATCAGTTAAGCAGGTAGAAAAATCATAATTACAAACACCAATATATCTATATTTAAACCCAAATGTATAAAGTATAAGGTCAAGCTGCTTAATTAGGAATGGGGAAATCCTGTTTCTAGTCCATGCTCAGCTCTGGATATTCAATACACAGGTCTGCAAAAAAAAATTTTTCGAGAGCAGTTTTGGTTATTCCATGTAATCTTTATGGTTTTTGGTGCGTTGAATCCAAAAATGACCTCCATTTTGTCATAGGACATCACGTTTCCTGACAATTTAGGTAACTATGTTAAATAAAGCAATACCTCAAAATAAATGGAAATGGACTTATAAAATTAAGGTTTTATTACAATATTTTCCTGAACATCCTTTTCTGAACTGAAATGAGTTCACCTACAAACACTAAACTCGATTTTTCTTCCTTGTGAGGCTCCTCTTGGTGCATTTATGCTTG